CCCCCCCCACAACCTCGGTTGCCCATTAATTGCAGAAGTGGAAGGCGAGTGGCGGAATGCTCATTGGGACCCATACGAGGACGCAATAACGGACAACATGGTGTCCATCATGCGCATGCGATTGCGCAATAGCCTCCATTGGTGGCTGTCATGGTGCGACAGCAGTCTTATCCTTTCCATCATTGCCAGAGGGTACTGGCTACCATGGAAGGGCGCGGAGCCTCTCCCCTTCGAAGCGCCCAATCACGCAGGCGTCCAAGCACACATGGCATTCACCCAAGACGCGGTCAGCGACCTCATCGCGTCAGGCGCCGCGATGCATGTCTCGTCGAAAGCCGCACTTACGTGCATCAGCCCGCTCAATGTTGTGGAGCAACGAGACAAATGTCGGCTCATCCTTGACCTGCGGAAGGTCAACGCTCACCTCCAAGTTCCCAAGTTCAAGTACGAAGGCTTGAGTCGGGTCGCGGAAATCATTCGCCCAAACGACTGGATGTTCACAATCGATCTCAAGTCAGGCTACCACCACGTCGAAATCCACCCATCGTGCTGGAAGTTTTTGGGCTTTCAATTGGGCGGAAATTTCTATTGCTTCACATCCTTACCTTTCGGCCTGGCAACAGCCCCGTTCGTCTTCACCCAGCTTATTAAGCAACTAGCCAAGAGATGGCGCGCGCGCGGAGTGCGCGTAATACCATACGTGGACGATCTACTATTCCTCTGCGACTCCGAGGCGCTAGCCCGTTCGACGTGCATCGAAGTTCTCTACGACCTGAAGGCGGCAGGATTCGTGATAAATTCTAAGAAATCACACCTGCATCCCGCACACCACTTGCGCTTTTTGGGGATGGAGCTTGACACGGAACGAGGGATGTTCATTGTCGGAAAGGATCGGCGCGAACAACTACTGCAGGAGCTCCACCTACTTATAAAAAAAGGGCAATCGGGTCGCCAAGTGCCGATTCGCAAGATAGCCCGGGCACGACGGCGCGTGCCTTCAGCCATGAGCTTCTGCACTTGATCGACTCCGCATGGTCATGGAACTCAAAGGTTTTATTGTCACCAGGAGCGACCGAGGAGCTGCTGTTTTGGACAATGCACTTCGATCGTTTCAATGGCGCCCCATTCCACCAGAGTCAGCGTTTTGATGCCGTGATACACGTCGACGCAAGCGCACACAGCTGGGGTGCCACTCTGGCCAAGTTCCCAAGTACATCATGCGAGGCAAGCGAGTGCATGCCACAAGGGCTTCTCCCCACATCTAGTACGCGGCGAGAGCTCGAGGGAGTGCTCTGGGCACTGCGGACGTTCGCAACCCAAATCGTGGGTGCTCACGTCCTCGTCCGGGTAGACAACCAGGCAGTCATGTTTATCTTGCGCAAAGGGGGATCCCGTCAGGCGGATCTTACGTTGACATGCCAAGCGATCATCCAGTTCTGCCTCGGCAACACAACACGCCTCGCGATCGAATGGATTCCGAGAGAGCTCAACGCCCATGCGGATGACCTATCCAAGATGCAAGTTTTTTTGACGACTACTCCCTACACGCACCTTGGTTTCGCCTCTTGGAACGACGCTGGGGGCCTCACACAATTGATCTCTTTGCTAACGTTCGGAACAATCACGTTCAGCGCTTCTGCTCTAAGATACCGCACCCCGACGCGTTCGCCGTCGACGCATTTTCCATCTCGTGGACAGGCGAGCGATGCTTTGCCTTCCCGCCTCCACACTTAATTCCCGCTACACTCCGCCATGCGGAACTGACGCAGACAGAACTCACGCTCGTCGTTCCACAGTGGACCGGAGCGTCATGGTGGCCGCTTCTCCAGCCGTCCACTCAATCGTGGGCTCCGGCAGTAGTAGAGCACCTTTCCCTTGCCCAAGGCAGCCAATGCCTTCGGGCAGGTTCACACACAGCTGCATTCTCTGGTCTCGGATTGCCCCATAGCCCAATCATTGCTTTGCGTGTAAACTATGCGGTCTAATAACAATTTCTCAATGTGTCATTTCAGGACTTTTGGCCAAACTAAAGCAACAATTGATGCACGTAATTAGCCACGTTCGCGCACCATCTACAATCGAGACGTACCAACCTTATTGGCAGAGATTTCGCACCTTCTGTACCCAAGTTAAGCTCGAGTTCCTACCGGCAACCGACCTGACGCTAGCGCTGTATCTCATCCATGCGCTCAACAACAAAGCAACTCTCTCTGCGATCAACCTCACGTGTTCGGCAGTAGCCTTCGCCCACCGCATGACAGGCGAAACCTCCCCTACCGCTGGCCCACTCACCCTGCAAGTGCGGGAGTTCGCCAAGAGACATGGCCCTCGGCCTACAAGGACCAAAGAGCCGATCTCTCTCCATCAAGTGCACGACATGGCTCGTCCCTTCCTCGAATCACCAATTCCTGCGGAATACCAGAAAGGATTGATTCCTCTTCTCATGTTTTCTGCATTCTTGCGCTACTCCGACCTCGTCTCGCTCCAATGGAATGATGTACAGTTCGAGGAGAAGGCAATGTGGCTGCTCATCCCGCACTCCAAGACGGACCAGGAGGGGAGGGGAGTCTGGATCCCAGTGGCAGCAATTCCAGGCCCATACTGCCCGGTGAGGTGCACGCGCACATTTATACACATCGCAGGCCTCACAAAGGTGCCACATGGACCGCTGATAAGGGTTTTCCCGAAGAACTCGCAAGCCACACCGAACGACAAATCACCATCCTACGTTACGATCAGAAACTGGTGCCTCGCGGCCGGCAGGCAAGCTGGACTGGATGTCGCGCACATCGGAACCCACTCATTCCGCAAAGGCGCAGCCACGGCGGCGGCAAGCCTCGGAGTTCCTGACCGGCTCTTCAAACGCATGGGCCGATGGCGCAGCGACAGCGCGAAGGAGATGTACGTTACAATCGCGCAGGATCAGCTCATCTCCCTCTCTACGCAATTGCAGGATCCTTCGACGGCTCCCTCGCCCGCTACGCATCAGCTGTCAATCGAACGACACCGCCAGCCCCGACTGCACTTGCCTCAGAAGACCCATATGAAATGATAACGCTGCCTTTGCCAGTCAGCCTAAGTACACTTTCACAATATGATAATTTTTGAAAGTGTAATGAAATGTAACACTTTCTAAAATTTTGTATTGTGAAAAGGGGTACGTGGCCAACACAGCAAAGGTAGCGCCGAAGCGCTACTCACCCTCTTTTGCCTACAAAAGAGGGACGTGGGGACATTCGTCCCCACCCACGTTTTCATTTTCAAAATTGTAGTTCTAATTTCCCACCCGCCCACCCATTGTGTATGCTGTTATGTAGATTTATATAAGACGAGAACGATGTACTACAATCCATATGAAATGATAACGCTGCCTTTGCCAGTCAGCCTAAGTACACTTTCACAATCCTGTGTGCGGTGAAAGAGGAAGCCATGGAGTACCGTAGCAGAGGCTTATGGCTACCCTACCCTCCATCCAACTTCCTTTCACAAGCCCCACACCACACTCCTCTCATGCCAAGTGCCGCCTGCTGGAAAGCATGACCACGATGCGACAAGACTCACGAAGCAGAAGCATGAGCTGTAATGGAACACGATGTGACGTGATGGATTGCTTGCTGCACTCTTCATGCATCATGAATCACAGGAGAGACAGACACCAAGATCCAGGCCAGTGAACACAGTAGTAGGCAATACGTTGCAGTGCATGCAATGCGAGTAGTATGCATGCAATACACATATGATGCCAAGTAGTACCGTACCCGATAAAATGCGTGTGCTCAGCTTGGCATCAATCAAGGCATGCCATCGTTCAAGAGCACCACAACATTAACAACAATACCAATAATACCCACAGCTACACCCACCAACACCAGTAACCATGCCACCACCGTATCAGATACCGATACAGTTCCTCCTTTGGCCCTTAGAGACACAAGCCCAGGGAAAACGAACCCTATCATAACCGCTGCGGTACAGCCCATAAACTGGAACACTATCCAGATATCCGGCACCAGAACCGCTCCACAAAAGGCTAAAACGAGGAGGAACACTGTAAGGAGTACGAAACGAACTTGGCGCCAAAAACGTCGCCTCTTTGTTGCCTTTTCTTCTGCCTGTCGAAGCTCTTCGAGCCTCGCTTCCTCGTCCTCCTCTTCTTCCTCCTCTCCCTCTGTGTCCTCCTCTTCCCCTTCCGTCTCCTCCCCTTCCCTCTCTTCTCCCACATCCTCCTCCCCGGCCTCCTCTGTCCCATCCTCATTCCCATCCACCTGAATATATTCAAGGGAATTTACCCTCGTTCTCTCCTTCGTCCGCCCGCTGGCAGAACCACCTGCCTCAACCACACCTGCAGATTTGCCGCTGCTGCTCGTAGTCCTTCCCTCGTCTCTCCCTCCTCGCCCTTTCCTTCCCAGACAAGCCGACAGCAGCGACGCCACAACCAGCCGCAGCTGAAACAGCACGAGAGGGAGCGAAAGCACCCTCGAAATCGCATACCCGATCTTCACCCCCTGCCCTAGCGCCACAGCATGTGCCGCAATTATGGGGCTCATTCCTGGAACGACGTCTAGGCTCGTGTCGAAATCGTATAGCACGTCTGTGTGTACATCAGAGCCGAAAAGCACGAGGCCGAAAATGCCGACTGCGAGGTAGACGAGGGTGGTGATGATGACAGAGCAGCGCACGACTGTGCGCATGCGGGGGAGGGAGCGGTCCCTGAGTTCCCTGTAAATAGGGGTCACTGGTAGGGTGGGATGGAAAGGAACGATTGAGTTAGATGGCTATGAGAGGTAGACGAGGGTGATGATGATGACCGAGCAGCGCACGACCGTGCGCATGCGGGGAAGGGATCGGTCCCTTAGCTCCCTGTATATGGGGGTCACTGGGAGATGGAATGGAAAGGAACGGTAAGGATGGATGGATATGGGAGGTAGACGAGGGTGGTGATGATGACAGAGCAACGCACGACCGTGCGCATTCGGGGGAGGGAGCGGTCCCGTAGCTCCCTGTATATGGGGGTCACTGCACAAAGGGTACGGCACGTGAGAGAGGGGAGAGGGAAGGCAGAAATGGAAGAGCGAGGGGGGAGGGAGAGTGGATAAAAAACGTATAGCACGTCTGTGTGCACATCGGAGCCGAAACGCACGAGCCCAAAAATGCCGACTGCGAGGTAGACGAGGGTGGTGATGATGACAGAGCAGCGCACGACCGTGCGCATTCGGGGCAGAGAGCGGTCTCTGAGTTCCCTGTATATGGGGGTCACTGGGGGATGAGGAGGGGAGATGCAGCAAGGAAAGACAGAGACGAATGGCTATGTGAGAGGTAGACGAGGGTGGTGATGATGACCGAGCAGCGCACGACCGTGCGCATACAAGGGAGCGAGCGGTCCCTTAGCTCCCTGTAAATAGGGGTCACTGGTAGGGTGGGATGGAAAGGAATGGAAAAGTTAGATGGCTATTAGAGGTAGACGAGGGTGATGATGATGATAGAGCAGCGCACGACGCTTCGCATGCGGGGGAGCGAGCGGTCCTTATCTCCCTGGGATAGGGGTCACTGGTAGGGCGGGAGTGGGGGATGTAACAAAGGTTACGCCCGGCAAGAGAGGCAGAGAGGAAGGGCAGAGATGGATAAGCACGAGGGGCGCTGGGATGGAAATTATGGAGCACTGCTAAAAGGAACTTGATAGGATCCATGTTGCAGTGGTTGAGACTAGAGGGGCACTCACTCAGCATAAAAATGGTATATGTGAAGGCGTTTGCAACAGTGTCGATGACGCTGAAAACTGCAAGGAAATTGCGATTTACTTGTACTCTCTAAAGCAGAACTCGACAGAATCCATGATCTGATACTGACCATTGAAATGGCATATGAAGGCGTTGGTGACGACGTTGATGACGCTGAAAACAGCGAGGGCATTGCCAGACGTGGCGAACAGTGGCGGCATGGTGGCAGCACCAGCTGCAATCTTCCCTCCAGACAGCAGCAGCACGAGCAGCACAAATGCAATCTTACCGTTGAAATGGCATATGAAGGCATTTGTGACGACGTTGATGACACTGAAAACAGCCAGGGCATTGCCAGACGTGGCGAACAGTGGCGGCATGGTGGCTGCACCAGCTGCAATCTTCCCTCCAGACAGCAGCAGCACGAGCAGCACAAACGCAATCGCCAAGGCCACTGATATCTTACTCGCAACCTTCATGGATCCTGATTGGTGGTGGAAAAGAAAAGGGACATAACGACTCGTCAAAAGGATGGAGGAGAGAGCTTGAAAGACGGGACAGTGAGGGGGTTGAGAGAGGGCTAACGACGGGAGGGTTTTGCAGAGCGAGAGGGTGAGAGAAATGGGAGCATAGCAAATCAATTACGAAACATGGAACACGGAACACGAAATCAAGATACTGGAACGATTATTGAGATGACAACACTCGACACACAACGTGAATTGGAACTTGACTGCAAGACTCACCGAGTCTGTCTTGCAAGCAGAGGGGCAGAATAAGGAGAATGACTATAGCGAGGATAGACTTTCTGGCCACGTCTGGTGACAAATGCAGCTGATCCAGGGGCAGAACGCCAGGTCCTGTGGCGCTGCCTACAAGTACATCCCCTACAGTCACACATGGGAAAGAAACAACAAAATAAGGGAAACTCAAGTCGAATAAGGGCAAGCACTTTAATGGGAATAGCACTTTTTGGCACCATCTGGATGCTTGTGTTGCTCATATAGTAAGGTCACGGACTAACACGGGGAAGACAGAGTACAGTGTACTGTAGCCTGTAGGCACGACTGGCCGTTCATAAATTGATACTGAGTGAAGTGAAGAAAGGAATTTGAAAAAAATAGGACCACCACTAACAAATGTGCTTTTTAGTGTTTATTGAAGTACACTACCAGGAGCAAAACACTTACCGATGATATCAAGGAACACCATCATGAGGCCCAAATTGTTGACAACAATCGACAGCTGCAGCACCAGCCGTCCCGTGCTTCCCAGAGCCGTAGCCACAGTGTGGTTATAACTCAGCTTCTCGTCATCCCGCATACTGAAACTGCGGCCACCAACACTGCTGAAATTCCCTCCATTGCTAGCGTTTAATTTTCTTCCCACTTCCCTGGGATCGCCGTTTCTGCCAGTTCTGCCTCTCCCTGCTGCTCCCGCAGCGTCAATTGCCGTGTCAGATTCCCGAAACCGCGAAGGGTCTTCCTCAGAAGGGGATGAAGCGGCAGCAGCAGCGACGGTGCAGCGAACCATGGCCATGACAGATCCATAAGTTAACAGCGCCACGAAGATAAGCGCTGCACTCCCAGTCACGACGCCTAGGACGTTCATCGCTGCAGGCAAGGACATCATGCCCGCGCCAATCATCGTGTTCGAGAGATTGAATATGGAACTTTTTAACGACGTGGTCCCGTCCTCGCGAGCTCGAGTAACCACGCGCGCTTGCGCCGCCGACGGAGGAGGAGGTTGGGTCGCAAGAGACGGCTCGGATGGCGGGGAAGGCGGCGGGGATGGCGGCTCCCTTTCAGATAACCCATGACTAGATTCGAGCGATTCTCTCCCTTCCTCCTCGTCAGGCAGAAACGGAACCTTTTCGTGAAGCGACGCGAGAGAGCCGAAAGGGGAGGGTGATCGTTGGATATGGGGCCGGCGACCAGGAGGAATGGCTCTATTGCCTCCAGGAAACGGGACCTGCGGGGGTCCTGTGCGTCGAGCATGCTGATTACTGACGGTCGGAGCAGCACCAGGCCTAGACCCAGGTCTAGTTCCCCTTCCCGGGAGGGCAATGTAGGGGTTGACTCCAGGAGCTCGGCCAGGAACAGGAACGGCTCCATCCTCGATATAATCGGACTCTGTTTCCGAAGCTGGGAGGCCGGTGAGAGACGATCCGATGGCGGTTTGTGGGGATGGTGACGGCGATGGCTGGCTTGGTCGATAGGGGAGCCCATAGAAGAAGTCTAACGGGCTTCGGCCGCTTAAAAGGGGCTCGGTTATGGGTAAGGAACCGATTAGGTCTTCGAAAGAGCCACGGAACCGGCTGAAGCCGGTGCGGTTGTTCGCCATTTTGGAATTTTGTTTTCCCTTTTTAAGTTTAATAAAAAACCGAACGGCGAAGGTGGTCAGAAGAGAGTGACGACGACTCTCTTACAGTATTGTTAGGCAGCTCAATGGAGCCCCTGAAAAATGGAGCTACAGCTGTAGGAAGCCATAGCTCCACTGAAGGGAAGTGCGAAGTATGGGGAATGCCATATTTGTGAAAGAACAATTGGCGAAGCATGTCCCGTCCCGATGCAGTTGATCAGAGGGAGGATTTGGGGTACCCTCTCGATGCTGGGAAAGATGGATTTTCAGTGGAAGCACAAATATATTACATGTTTAATAATCTTATTTGCTCTTTAGAAGACCCACACCTAGTGTAAGGAAAAACCCTTTTTCCTTACTGGGGTTTACTCAACCGCGAGTACTTTAAGCAAGAGTTCTTTAAGCAAGAGTTGGAATTTTTTGGGCACGTCATCTCACGCGACGGCATCAAAATCGACCCGAAGAAAATCAAGACCATCCAGGAATGGAAGGCCCCGACTAATGTCACAGAACTTCAGAGTTTTCTGGGGTTTGTGAATTATGTCCGGCGGTTTATCCCGAATATGGCGGGGATAACCGGCCCGCTGACCGACCTGCTGCACAAGGATAGGAATTTCGTGTGGGGGGAAGAGGCTGAGGCGGCTTTTCAGGAGTTGAAGCAGTTACTGGTGTCCCCTCCGGTTCTTCGCATCGCCGACCCATCCAAGCCGTTCGAAGTCGTCACCGACGCTTCAGATTTCGCCATCGGCGCAGTGCTGCTCCAGGATTTTGGCAACGGCTTACAACCGATCGCCTACGAGTCACGCAAGTTGCAGGCAGCCGAGCGCAACTACCCGATTCACGACAAGGAGATGCTCGCCATCATTCACGCGTTTAAACTGTGGAGATGCTACCTGACTGGCGCCGACGTCACTGTTCGCACCGATCATAAATCCCTACAGTACCTTCGAGCGCAACCCAACCTCAACCCACGACAAATCCGGTGGCTCGATTACATGGAGTCACACTTCCACTACAGGATCACCTACAAGAAGGGCGCGAACAATATTGCCGACGCCCTGACCCGACCGACAGTCCAATCCGCTGCTGTGCTGATCACCCATTCGAACCCGCTTCTTTCGGGACTATTCACCCACGGCTACACTACGGACCCGTTCTTCACGACTGGAAATCACCAGCAGGCGACGACGCAGAAAGGGAATTATTACCTAAAGGCCGGAACTGACCGGATTTGGGTTCCCGCTTACCGGCTGCTGCGCGAACTCCTTATTCAGGAGGTCCATGATTCCAACCTCTCCGGACATTTCGGGGTTGATAAAACCCAGAAGTTGTTGCACCGTCAGTATTATTGGCCTGATTCTGCTAACGACGTGCAGCGATATGTGTCCTCATGCAGGGTGTGCCAAGCCATGAAATCGACACGTCAGCGGCCAGCTGGGTTGCTGCAACCTCTCGAGTAAGGAAAAAAAACCCTTTTTCCTTACTGGGGTTTACTCAACCGCGTACAACCCCAACTTTCGGAAGTGCACGTTCGGCCGCTTTGCTTGCTGCCGAAGCAACCTCGCGTCGCCTTCGGCTTTCCTTTGCCCAACCTGCACTCAACCTCGTGTTCCCGAGGTTCCCGCCTAGTTAGGTTGCCTCGCTATATAATCGCATGTCTTTCATTGTATCGTCAGTTCATTGAGTCACAGCCTCGTTATTCGTTATTCCGCGCAACTCTGTTTGACAACTCATAACACCTGGTATCAGAGCTACTTTCCTAGTTCACCCCGCTTTTCCAGGGTAGTTTAGTGGCACGGGTGTGACTGGTACGGTGGGCTGCAAAGCGGTTGGTTGCAAAGTTTATTAAATTAAACTTGCCCGACTCCGATAGCTTTTGCGCTTGCACTGTTGCCGGATAGTCACGGAGACCCACTTGCCTGTTAGACGTAGCTTGCGACTCATGGACCAGGCGGCATTTGACGCGTTGATGCAGCAAGTGGCGGAGATGTCGGCAGGCATGAAGGCGTTAACGACAGAGGTGGAGAGACTACGTGAAGAAAACAACGAGCTACGCCAGGCGCGAGGTGAAGCGCGCCAGGAGTCGCCCGCTGAAGAAGGCGAGAGCACTGGTCAAGCGGTGAGCGGCAATCCGTTGGAGGAGCTCACACGCGGCTTCGAAGAAGAAGATAGGCAGCGAGCGGCGGCAGCGACAACAGTTGCAGTGACAACAATCAAGATAAAGCCTACGAGCCCGCCCCCGTTCAACCCTACCGACAAGAACACTACTGTTAAGGGGTGGTTGTTCGGCGTGGAGGTGTTCTTCACTGCAGCGAACGTCAACGACGACGCCACGCGTATTAATTACGCGGTATCGCTTCTGCGAGGCCCGGCGCTTGAGTGGTGGCGACGAACCTTGGACACGGGGACCCCGACAGGTGTGACACATGCGGCAGACGGGACTTCGGACTCTGCTATTGGGAGGGCATCATCGATATTCGGTGTGGCCACAATTCGCACGTGGAAGCAGTGGGGCGCAGCCTTACGAGAGCGTTTCGAGCATGTATCCGCCTCGGAACACGCTCGCATGAAGCTGCGTACCTGGTCACAGTTGGCTTCTGTTCAAGACTACACAGCGTCGTTTATGGCGCTCGCGGATCAAGTGGACGACATGGCGGAAGCTGAACGGTTGGATAAATACATCAGCGGCTTGAAGTATGAGATACAGTACGAGGTGCGCCGCAGCCGTCCAGCAACATTCAACGAAGCCGTCCGATTGGCCGAGAGCACAGACGCGCTGATGCAGTGGGCGAGATCGAGTTCTCGGGAGGGAAACCGATTTCGTGGACAGACCCAGCGGGCCACTTACCATGCGCCAGACCGCCCTTTTACAGGGTTGTGTTTTAAGTGCGGGAAGCCGGGCCACATGTATAAAGACTGCCCCGACAGGACGCAGGGAAAGAAGAACGACGGGAAGGAGCCGGGAAATGGGAAGAGTCAGTAACAGACGGGCCCCTTACTGACTGTGCTCTGTCGCCCGAACCCCACCATCCCCACCGAGTCGTGGTTCCGATTCATGCAATCGATCGCACTCGGACGAATAACGGGGGTGAACATGTGGATCACCCTGTGCTGGTTGTTGGCACGGTTGTTAAGAAAAAAATAAAAATGTTCGTCGATGGCGGGGCTAGCCATAGCCTCTTCAATCTGGCGACAGCAAAAAAATGCAAGTTGCAGCTGGACAGGTGTCTGCCCGAAATTGACGCCCGCCTCGTGGATGGGACGCCTCTGGCGATTTTGGAAGAAACACGGACGGTGCGGATTGAGTGCGGCGACGATTTCGGCTTCAGCATGAAGTTTCTCGCGACGACGTTGGACGGATGCGACGTGCTCCTGGGGCGCGATTGGCTGCGACGGCACAACCCGATAATCGATTGGACGACGGGATCGTGCAGCATCAGCAAGGACGGGAAGCTGATTACTCTGCCCGCGTGGACTCCGGACTGCATCGAGTCTACATGCGTCAAAGCCATCACTATTACACGCCACGTCAACAGGGGTGCGCAACTGTTCGCCGTATGCTTGCGCGAGTTGGCAGCCGACACCGACGGAAACGACATCGAGAAGCTGTGCGCAGCTGTACCACCTGATTTAGCGGAGCTGATTCGACAATACCCCGACATCTTCCCCGACGACCTGCCACCTGGACTACCACCCGAACGCCCCGAGGACCACAAAATCCAGCTGGAGCCCGGCGCGCAACCGACTGTTCGTACACAGTGGCGGTTGACTCAGCCCGAACTTGCGGAGCTTCGAAGTCAACTTGAGTCACTGTTGGAGAAGGGCTTCATCCGACCCAGTACTTCACCCTTCGCTGCCCCGATCTTGTTCACACCGAAGAAGGACGGCGGCATTCGCATGTGCATCGACTATCGCGCGCTCAACCGGGTTACCATCAAATCTCGCTATCCCATCCCACGCACCGACGACCTCCTCGACCAACTTCGCGGCGCTCGCTACTTCTCGGAGATTGACCTACGCGGGAGTTACCACCAGATCAGGGTCTTCGCTGACGATTGTCACAAGACCGCCTTCCGAACCCGCTACGGCAGTTACGAGTTCACCGTGATGCCTTTCGGCCTCACGAACGCGCCATCAACATTTCAACGCACCATGAACAGGGTATTTCGCGACCTGCTAGACAAGTGTGTTATCGTCTACTTGGACGATATTCTGATTTTTAGCAGGACACGCGAGCAGCACCTCCGCGACCTCGACGCAGTGTTTAAGCGGCTACAGGAGAACCGGCTCATCACCAAAGGCTCTAAGTGCGAGTTCTTTAAGCAAGAGTTGGAGTTTTTGGGGCACGTCATCTCACGCGACGGCATCAAAATCGACCCGAAGAAAATCAAGACCATCCAGGAATGGAAGGCCCCGACTAATGTCACAGAACTTCAGAGTTTTCTGGGGTTTGTGAATTATGTCCGGCGGTTTATCCCGAATATGGCGGGGATAACCGGCCCGCTGACCGACCTGCTGCACAAGGATAGGAATTTCGTGTGGGGGGAAGAGGCTGAGGCGGCTTTTCAGGAGTTGAAGCAGTTACTGGTGTCCCCTCCGGTTCTTCGCATCGCCGACCCATCCAAGCCGTTCGAAGTCGTCACCGACGCTTCAGATTTCGCCATCGGCGCAGTGCTGCTCCAGGATTTTGGCAACGGCTTACAACCGATCGCCTACGAGTCACGCAAGTTGCAGGCAGCCGAGCGCAACTACCCGATTCACGACAAGGAGATGCTCGCCATCATTCACGCGTTTAAACTGTGGAGATGCTACCTGACTGGCGCCGACGTCACTGTTCGCACCGATCATAAATCCCTACAGTACCTTCGAGCGCAACCCAACCTCAACCCACGACAAATCCGGTGGCTCGATTACATGGAGTCACACTTCCACTACAGGATCACCTACAAGAAGGGCGCGAACAATATTGCCGACGCCCTGACCCGACCGACAGTCCAATCCGCTGCTGTGCTGATCACCCATTCGAACCCGCTTCTTTCGGGACTATTCACCCACGGCTACACTACGGACCCGTTCTTCACGACTGGAAATCACCAGCAGGCGACGACGCAGAAAGGGAATTATTACCTAAAGGCCGGAACTGACCGGATTTGGGTTCCCGCTTACCGGCTGCTGCGCGAACTCCTTATTCAGGAGGTCCATGATTCCAACCTCTCCGGACATTTCGGGGTTGATAAAACCCAGAAGTTGTTGCACCGTCAGTATTATTGGCCTGATTCTGCTAACGACGTGCAGCGATATGTGTCCTCATGCAGGGTGTGCCAAGCCATGAAATCGACACGTCAGCGGCCAGCTGGGTTGCTGCAACCTCTCGAGCCACCCGAACGACCATGGCAACAGGTGACGATGGACTTTGTCACGGGGCTGCCAGCTGGGCCGTCCGGCAACGACGCTGTACTCGTCGTCGTCGATCGCCTCACAAAAATGGCGCATTTCGCACCTTGTCGCACGACAATCACCGCCGAAGAAACTGCACGCCTCTTCATCTCCACCGTTGTGCGACTACACGGCATCCCATCGGCGATCATCAGCGACCGGGACCCAAAGTTCACATCGAAATTTTGGAGGGAGACGTGGGCGCAGTACGGAACGAAGCTACAGTTCTCGTCGGCATACCACCCGCAAACCGACGGCCAGACCGAGCGGACCAATCAGACGATGGAGCAGCTGATCAGGACAAACTGCCCCGACCCCGCTCGCTGGGAACATTCGCTCGCCATGCTGGAATTCGCGTTCAACAACGCTCCGTCCAGCACGACTAATCACTCCCCGTTCTTCTTGAATTACGGGATGGACCCGGTGGTACCTACAACGACTACACTTGACAACCCGGTCCCGAGGTCACAAACATTTGTGACAGAACTCCAAGAAATTCGCGAGAAGGCTGCGGACGCAATTCGCAAGGCGAATACCACTTCCCGCAAATACACCGACCTTTTACGACGGGAACTCGTCTTGGCAGCTGGGCAACTAGTACTACTGGACACGAAGAACCTGCACCTGCCCGGCCCATCGAAGTTACGGCCACGATTCTGTGGGCCTTTCAGGATCCTCAAGATGGTGACACCTGTCACCGCGAAGCTGCTACTACCCGACGACTGGCGTATTCACGACGCCTTCCACGTCAGCTTATTACGCAAGTTCGTGCCTGCCACAACAGACATCGCGCGCCAGAACGCCGTCCCGACAGCTCGACCTGTCCCGGAACCGACACTCGACCCGTCCAAGATTTTGGCGCATCGTGTTCGGCTCGACGCTTCGGGACGCCACGTGGACTTTCTTATCCGTTGGACTGACCGCACCAGTGAGGACGACACATGGGTGCCATCCGCCTCGCTTGAAGCTTCCCCGCTTCTTGGTGATTACCTCGCCCGCAAGCGAGCTGTGGATGTTGACCACCTTTCTTAAGGGGGGGGGTAGTGTAAGGAAAAACCCTTTTTCCTTACTGGGGTTTACTCAACCGCGTACAACCCCAACTTTCGGAAGTGCACGTTCGGCCGCTTTGCTTGCTGCCGAAGCAACCTCGCGTCGCCTTCGGCTTTCCTTTGCCCAACCTGCACTCAACCTCGTGTTCCCGAGGTTCCCGCCTAGTTAGGTTGCCTCGCTATATAATCGCATGTCTTTCATTGTATCGTCAGTTCATTGAGTCACAGCCTCGTTATTCGTTATTCCGCGCAACTCTGTTTGACAACTCATAACACATAGGACGAGGAGTGCTATCCAGGGTTCTCAACTGGTGCGCTGGGTCAGACATTGATCAGTTTGGTTTTGTTTCAACAGAGAAACTTCTGGGGTGACTTCAGAAAACTAAATAAACAACTCACCCAACCACACAACGCCGTCAATTCGCCGCACCTGATAGCGTCTTGCTCCCTGATTGGTTAACGAATTGCTTTTGCACAACCATCTGGTGTTCTCGAGGCCGAAACTCCCAAAGACTCTCCGCTCCTCCCTAACCACAAACATTCTGCTCTCCATTTCAACCAGATCCCCTCCAACACAAATCCATTCCGCTTCATCTGCTTTGCTTTTCATATGCTCTTCGCTTTCCCCAACGAAGCAGCTAGCTTGTCACTGTCACTCCATCTTTGTCTAAGATGCCGAAGACATACACTTTGGTTAGAGATCATGTAAAGTCACAACAGAGCACATCTCTTCTGTGTGGAGCGACGCTCGGCCTCCTTACAATCATTCTCCTGCTTGTTGGAGATGGAGCATTTGAATTCATCAATTCCCAGCCGATGGTTGCTGATACTTGCGCTTGTGCAGATGCTACTAAGACACTTGGGATTCCAGTCGTTTACGAACGTAATTCCAGACTGCTTGTGACAGTTCCTGATGAGAGAAACGATGAAACGTCGGGGAATGACCCACTTCCATTGTATCGACTGAGAGGGGTCACGACATTGCTGAACTTCATGCGGAGGCATCTTGGATCAGATCTCAGCAACGTTACGATGCTGGAGAACGGCAGTGATGTGACCGGAAGCGTTGGAAATGAGCTGGGAAAAGTCGTCGGCAAGTACGTTGGCGTAAACTGCCCTTTTGAAGGGGATGACACATCGGCACTGAAAGTCAAGCGAAATAACACGATGTTTCTGAGCACCGACTGCAAGACTCTGCCATTCCTGAACGACACATTTGACGTAGTCTTCAGCGACAACGTTCTGGAGCACGTTGCTGACTTGAAGCTGTTTATCAGTGAGACTTTCCGTGTCTTAAAGCCTGGAGGGCTAGTTCTGTTTTTATGGGACCCTGTTTGGACGGGACCCTTTGGCCACCACATACACGAAGACATGGTGCAACGACGAGCTGCAAGGATGAATGCTTCCTTCAGGTATGTTTTTCACTACTTTCTTTTCATTGCGTCTTCTTGGGCCAAGTTAACAGGTGACAAAACCTGCAGATACGCGAATAATGGATCCTTCATTCCTCCGTGGGGGCATCTTTTGTTGTCCAAACAACAGCTGAGGACCATCCTCATTGAACAAAACATGGGACCACTTCCTCTAATAGACGGTATCCTGGAGTTCATTTACACCCAGAAGAATATAAACAGAGTTCCCCTCAGCGAATTTTGGAAGAAACTTCATTCCTTCAGCTGGGTTCCGCTTGACGAGAGCAACCAATGTCAAGGCATTACAAGAACATGGACCAGCCTGGATGGCACTGAACAAGTGGTGCGACCATTGCTGACACAAGACATGCTGCAAGCACTGAAGGCCCAGTATCCTACAGAAGATCAATTTGACATTGGGCCATGCATATTTGCTGCGAGCAAATAGAGCCCCGTTAAACTTGTTCATCGGAGCACGGAGTACTGAGGAATTGCATCAGGACACACTTGATCCCACGGGTATGGGAACTTGAGAACAGCCTGCCTATGTGGAAGATCCCATGAGTTGTAGGCATATCTGCAAAACCATAAAATGCATGTAGTACTAGTATTACAGATGAACATTGTACTCCGCACAGACATAAATGCTGCCTCAACTTACACATGGATTGGAGGTTCAGATATGATGACTAGAAGCTGCAGCAAGTTGCAGGACTCTGAGCCACATTCGGGAGAGCTGTTCAGGATCTGCAGCACACATACTCAAGAATACGCATTCAGGAATGCCACAACTGGACGCTTATAGAACGGATATACAAAACAGGGGGCAAATACCTGATGGACTTGATTCGAAGGCACCATGAAGGTCATGTTGGCACCTATGGGTCTAGAAACAGGGAAGCCTGGTATGCTTTGCTCCTTTTCCCTTTCTGGAGCCTGCATTGTGCCTTGTGCATCAAGATCAGGGACATCTGGTGCAAACAGCAGCTTCCCTGTACCGTTGAGGACTACGAACAGCTCCTCACATCCATGTCTGTGAATGGGAGTTCCACTTCCAGGGGCAAAGGTCTGCATCCATACTTCTACCTGGTAACAAAACACTGAGATTTCCATGAATAAGCCAGCGATTGAAACAACTAAAGAGGAGAGCCTAAACGGTTTCATGCTTACCTCTTGCGTACCATGGTGAACATGGCCCGCAATTGTAGCGTGAGACAACCCAGGGCGGCCGAAGTTTGACAACGGAATAGCATCAATTCTTCGCACGAATGGAAGACCTGGAAAGCGGACACTATGGCATGGTGTGTATCACCAATGAAAAGAGATGCTCATAATTTGTGGGGCAGTACGGAACTACACACGCATGCACCTCACCTGCATGACTGCAGTTTGCCAGCTCAGGCTTTGCCGCAACCACGAGTACTAGCGCAAATGTGGCATTGAAGATAGCACAGTGAAGAAAAAGAGTAGCGCCTCTACGAAGATCACTGACAATCTCACCCAGCCGCATCCCCGAGCAGAGCATCTCATGGACACAACTATCGTCCAAATGGAGAAGTGTGGGAAGTCTAAAGCAGCTACCAAACCTACAGCCACGGAAACGAAATCACTGCGTTCGTGCACCCTACTGTAGCAATCTGACTAAACCCTGTCGTCCGAGGATAGCGTTCTGCCAGACGCCAACAACGCCGCTTCAGCCGCTGCTTTCGCCTCTGCTCTCTGCTTCTCCACTGCCTGCTTCTCGAGATACAGCGATCCCAGCACACCCACGAACGCCACCGTGCCGATCAGCGCAACCGCCGCGTTCGGCTTCACGAAGAGCTCGGGGTTCAGCACGCGAAAGAGCCGAGTGGATCGCGGGCCCGGGAGGGGGTTCTTCGGATCCGCAGGGCCTGCGGCTTCACTGGAGAAGAACGCGGCTGCGGAAGCCGTCGTCCTACCACCCGCACTGATACCGGCGCTATTACCTGGTGACCTAACTGGATTGAAAATGGTTTCCCGGGCAGACCTGGAAACGGGGAAGCGAGAGGACATGGCAGTAGACAACCTGCAAGAACGCGCGGTAAGAAAAATTGGCCTAGTTTCGCTACGAGGAAAACAGAAGCGACGCAAAATTGGCACAACTACGGTACTCGCAGTCATATGCCTGAAGTGGTTCCGAAAATCGCCCCAAATAATTCAGTTCCCTTCAACCCCCTGAACCGAAAATGACTGCATGTTCGTTTTGTGTGTGCTTTCCCGTGTATGGTAAGTTGCGGTCCAAAGCGGTTGGCTATGAGAAATCCTTTCAACCGTTTCGTACATGCCCGAATCGCACTGAAATTTATGCAGCCCTGCTCCCCGCACGCCAGCCCGCCTGGAATCAGAAGAACAACACAGATGAAGCTCCACTTTGCCAAGTCGCGTTTTCTTTTCCCATTATTCGCCTCCGTTCCTCCTGTCAATCCGTTGGTGAAACAACGGATGGTTCCACTCTGCTCCCCCATACACGTTTCTAGAGGCAACTCCCTTTTCCTTTCATAATCCCTCACCATCCAGTTCACACCGTTTGATATCCAGATGTTTTCCCGCCTCCTCTCGTCAAATTTCAACTTCACTACCTAATTTTACCACCTGCAAGCGTCGTTTTCCCGCTCATTCCCCGTAAAATTATTACTATTATTATACGTTTGTTAACATCTACTTCATTGTCCGCACAAGAAGCTTTCGACGACCCCGTGCGAATGGCAGCGACCACGCAAAAGAACTCGACGCAATGTGACGCTGCGGACGTTGTTAACGAGGACAAAATCAAGGTCACAGGATCTGGAGCTTGCAATGTACCCTCGAGTAATACGACGTCGGAATCTGGGCCCTCCAACAGCTTGCTGCAGCGGTTTTCCACCAAGATGCTGAGCACAATGACAGGCATGGGTGGTATGAAGAAGGAGCGCGGGAATGAGCGAAACAGCGGAGACGGCCGGCGGAAGAAGGGAGTTGCTGACGTGGCAGTTGTAGAAGAAGGAGCAGAAGGTGGAAGGGGAGGGTGCACAGAAAATACAGCAGTGGAAGAGTCAGAAGGAGCAGCAGGTGGTGCGGGAAGAGGAGGGGGAGGAGGATCGGAATGTGGTAAACGAGAAGGAAAGGGCGAAGGGGAGGTTTCGACAATGCAAAAATGTTCCAATCCAGGTGTTGTTCCTGATTCGCTTTCAGGCGCTGACGTGGCACGTTCGGTCGCTTCCTCACCCCAGATCGACCCCCGAGCCAGAGACCGCTTTCTCCGCCTCTTCCGCTTCCACCACTGGCTTTCCAGCCAATCACAACCCTCGGGCGAAGCCCCCGTGCTAACTCAACAATCTAGCCAACCGTCTTCCACCGAGCCTCAGTCACAACTGACGTTGCAGCAGTCATTGCTTGAGGAGGTGCCTCACGTATCGCCCTCTGATCCTATTTCATGTCAGCAACCAGCAGCGGGGGCTTCGCTTTATGCAACTGTTGCTCCTGAAGGCACGTCAGAGCTTGTGATTATAACGAAGCAACCTCAGGCTTCAGCTCTCATGCCTTCGTTTGGACAATGCTTCCACGCTGGACACTACGCATCCCCATCACCAACCTCTGACGGTGGGCATTGGTCGAAATCACCTGCGCGGTCCAGCACGCAAAGTGGAGGAATAGCATACATTCCTTATAACGGAGCACTGCCCTCTCCAGTTGCTTATAGCGGATCACTTAGCATTCCACCCAGTGCTCTGCTTCCCTATGCCCAGGGAGGGCCATTGATATCCTCCCCTACCGGATATACCTCCTCGCATCCTGCTCCCGCTGTTGCCTTTGGTGACCTCCCCGCATCTGTCTCTTCTTCCGGCCCTGTATCTGCCGTTTCTTCTGCCACTCTTTGTGCATCGACGAATGACTCTTCCTCTCAAGGGAACTCTCTCAGGGAGCTGCTGAATCAAGGGAAGATGCGTAGGCAAGATGCGTTGGATTTGCTTCGAATGTACCATGAAGCTGCAGCAGCTCCCGGCCCGTGGGAGAATGAGCCCTTGCCTCCGGAACTAAATGTTTTAGGTGCTGAGAGTGATGGGGGCGGTGCTGCGGGAAGCGATTCAAATGATTGGAGTGGTGGGGCGTTGGAGCAGGAGAATTCCAAGGAGGCTAAGGGGAATGGAGACGCATTAGTGGGCATTGCAGGTAGGGACGAGTATTGGGACCAGGAAGAGGAGGAGAAGGGGGAGAATGCGGCCAGGGAGGTGAATGAGGTGGAGACCGAGGAGGATGGGCTGGGAATCGATGATGATTGGTCGGATGGGGTGTTGGAGCAGGAACTGCAAGAACTTCAGCTTGTAGCCGATCTACACTATTTGCTGTTGCAGCAGGAGCAGCAGCAGCAGCAGCAACAGCAGCAGCACCGAGGCGGCGAAAGCAGGGCCAACGACGTCAATGGCAACGAGCTTCTGGGAACTGTTTCAGAAACAGCTTCTGCGGGTGGGGGTTACAGGAAGACGGGGTTTCAGGAGCCGCTACGGCCAGCGTTCTATGATGCAGCGGAGGATGGAGGGGTTGGGTTCACGGAACAGTTTGCTCAGCTAAGGGTTGCTGCCAGCGTTAGCCGTGGCGCCAGTGCTGCCAGTGTTGCCAGTGCTGCCACCTCTGCTCATGCTGGCCGTGTTCCTAGTGTTGCTAGTGCTGCCAGTGCCACCAGCGTTGCTCATGTTGGCAGCGCTGCCAGTGCTGCCAGAACGCGGCCTGTGCTGCCTGTAGCAGCAGAGGATGGTGCTGGATTCACGAAACAGCCTGCTCCATTACAAGGTTATGCTTCTGCTGGTCCTGCCAATGCTGCCACTTCTGCCGCTTCTGCCGCTTCTACCACTTCTACCACTTCTGCTGCTTCTGCCGCTTCTGCCACTTCTGCCACTGCTGCCACTGCTCTCAAAGCTGCCGGTGCTGCCAGCGTGAAGCCTGTGCTGCCAGCCTTGTACGACGCAGCAGAGGACGGGATTGGCTTCACGGAGCAGTTCGCTCAAATGAGAGTGAAAGCGAAGGGACGACGGGAAGAGAAGTTCTCTAGTATTGCCACTGCTGTCAATTCTTCCTCCGCTTCCACTGCTGCCACTGTTGGCACTTCTACCACTGCTGCCACTGTTGCCACTTCTACCACTGCTGCCACTGCTTCCAATGCTGCCAGTGCTGTCAGCGTGAGGCCTGTACTGCCAGCCTTGTACGACGCAGCAGAGGAGGGGATTGGTTTCACAGATGCTCGGATAAGACAGAATGTGAAGGGGAGGCGGGAAGAGGAGTTTTGAGGCAACTCAAGAGTCGACTTAAAGTCAGAGTGAGGCCTGTGCTGCCAGCCTTGTACGACGCAGCAGGGGAGGGATTGGGTTCACGGAACAGTTCGCTTTAATGAGAGTGAACGTAAAGGGGAGGAGGGAAGAGTTTCTCTAGTGGACTTAAAGCCTCCCTGGTTGAACATGAAAGGGAGGTTGGAGCAGGAGGGAGTGGCGGAGCTTGAGGTGCGTCGAAAAGAGGTGAGGAGCAGCTTTTTGAGTCATATGGGCGAGGAAAACCAGTCCAGTGAGAAACAGGAATGCAATATGCTAGGATGCCAGTGGGTGAGTGGAGGATGATTGGGGAGGGCGTGTGGATACACAGGAAAGAAGGGAGGTGGAATGGCAAGGAAGGGGAACGTTGGGAGTGAAGCAGGAGAGAGGCGCAGGAAGAAGCGTCGGAAGCAGAGAGGTACCTGTAGGGGCTGACTGTTTTTTATAATGCTGTTGAAAATTGTGCGAGCTGTACTCAACAATTTGCCCAGTTGCCGCCGAGAAGGATGTAGTAAATTTCATGAGTGTAGGAATGTTTTGTTGTATAGTGGAGCAGATGTATAATGAGTGTGAAAAAGTACTCGAGTGTGTCAGAGGTCCACTGGTGATCCCCGATTGATCCTAGGGAAGGGTTACAGGCACGTTGGCCTGGGGGGTTATGGGCGCACTCACCCGCTACACAAACAAGCCCTTTTATCCCAGTGGTTAGTGGCTGGGATTCTGACATGGTATCAGAGCGAAGGTCTCGGGTTCGATTCCCGGTGTGTGCACTTCGGGCATCCCAGTGCGGGGGGGTGTCAGAGGTCCACTGGGGATCCCCGATGATCCTAGGGAAGGGTTACAGGCACGTCGGCCTGGGGGGTTATGGGCGCACTCACCCGCTATATAAACAAGCCCTTTTATCCCAGTGGTTAGTGACTGGGATTCTGACATGGTATCAGAGCGAAGGTCTCGGGTTCGATTCCCGGTGTGTGCACCTCGGGCATCCCAGTGCGGGGGGGTGTCAGAGGTCCACTGGTGATCCCCGATTGATCCTAGGGAAGGGTTACAGGCACGTTGGCCTGGGGGGTTATGGGCGCACTCACCCGCTACTATAACAAGCCCTTTTATCCCAGTGGTTAGTGACTGGGATTCTGACATGGTATCAGAGCGAAGGTCTCGGGTTCGATTCCCGGTGTGTGCACCTCGGGCATCCCAGTGCGGGGGGGTGTCAGAGGTCCACTGG